TACTATGAGCAATTATTTGCCAGCAAATTGGGCAATCTAGAGGAAATGGATAAATTCCTAGAAACATATAAACTACCAAAACTGAAACAGGAAGAAGTAGAAAATTTGAACAAATCATCACCAGTAAAAATTGAATCAGTAATAAAAAATCTCCCAACAAACAAGAGTCCAGGGCTGGATGGCTTCCCAGGGAAATTTTACCAAACATTTAAAGAAGAGTTAATACTTATTCTTTTGAAGCTGTTCCAAAAAATATAAATGGAAGGAAAACTTCCAAATTCATTCTACAAGGCCAACATTACACTGATTCCAAAACCAGACAAAGACTCCACTAAAAAGGATAATTTCAAGGGAGCCTGGGTGGCTCAGTTGGTTAAGTGTCCAACTCAGCTCAGGTCATGATCTCACAGTTTGTGAGTTCAAGTGCTGTGTTGGGCTCTGTGCTGACAGCTCAGAGCCCGGAGCCTGCTTCAGTTTCTGTGTCTCCCTCTCTCTCTGCCCTTTCCCCACTCACACTCTGTCTCTATCTCTCTCAAAAATAAATTAACATTAAAATATTTTTTTTAAAAAAAAGGAGAATTATAGACCAATTTCCCTGAGGAACATGGATGCAAAAATTCTCAACAAGATAGCACCAAATCGAATCCAACAATACATTAAAAATACATTCACCACGATCAATACATTGATCAAAACAATACATTCACCACAATCAAGAGGGATTTATTTTTGGGATTCAGGGCTGGTTCAAATTCCACAAATCAATCAACATGACACATCACATTAATAAAAGAAAGGATAAGAACCACATGATCTTCTCAATAGATGCAGAAAAAGAATTTGACAAAATACAGCATCTTTTCTTGATAAAAACACTTAAGAAAGTAGGGATAGAAGAAACATATCTCAACATCATAAAGGCCATTATGAAAGACTCACAGGGAATATCATCCTCAATGGGGAAAAACTGAGAGCTTTCCCCCTAAGGCAAGGAACAAGACAGGGATGTCCACTCTTAATGCTGTTGTTTAACAAACATACTGTTGGAAGTCCTAGCCTCAGCAATCAGACAACAGAAAATAAATAAAAGGCATCCAAATCAACACAGAGAAAGTCAAACTTTCACTCTTACCGGACAACATGACACTCTAGGTGGAAAATCAGGAAGACTCCACCGAAAAACTGCTAGAACTGATACATGAATTCAGCAAAGTCGCAGGATATAAAATCAATGTACAGAAATCAACTGCATTTCTATACACCAATAATAAAGCAGCAGAAAGAGAAATCAAGGAAACAATCCCATTTACAATTGCACCGAAAACCATAAAATACCTAGTAATAAAGCTAACCTAAGAGGTAAAAGATCTGTGTGCTTAAAACTATAGAAAGCTTATGAAAGAAATTGAAGAAGACAGAGAAATGGAAAAACCTTCCATGGTCATGGATTTGAAGAACATATATTGTTGTTTTTTTTTTTTAATTTTTTTTTTCAAACGTTTATTTATTTTTGGGACAGAGAGAGACAGCATGAACAGGGGAGGGGCAGAGAGAGAGGGAGACACAGAATCGGAAACAGGCTCCAGGCTCTGAGCCATCAGCCCAGAGCCCGACGTGGGGCTCGAACTCACGGAGCGCGAGATCGTGACCTGGCTGAAGTCAGACGCTTAACCGACTGCGCCACCCAGGCGCCCCGAACATATATTGTTAAAATATCTATACTACCCAAAGCAATCTACACATTCAATGCAATCCCTACCAAAATAGCACCAGCATTTTTCACAGAGATAGTACAAAGAATCCAAAAATTTGTATAGACCCAGAAAATACCCCGAATGGACAAAATAATGTTGAAAAAGAAAATCAAAACTGGAGGCATCACAATTCTGACTTCAAGGTATATTACAAAGCTATAATCATCAAGATTGTATGGTACTGGCACAAAAACAGACACTCAGATCAATGGAACAGAATAGAGAACCCAGAAATGGACCCACAAATACATGGCCAACAAATCTTTGACAAAGCAGAAAAGAATATCTAATGAAAAAAGAATGTTTTCAGCAAATGGTGCTGAGAAAACTAGACTGTGACATACAGAAGAATGAAATTGGACCACTTTCTTATACCATACACAAAAATAAACTCAAAATGGATGAAAGACCTAAATCTAAGACAGAAAACCATTAAAATCCTAGAGGATAAAACAGGCAACAACCTCTTTGACCTCAGCCACAGAGGTCAAACTTCTTACTAGACATGTGTCTGTTGGCAAGGGAAACAAAAACAAAAATGAACTATTGAGACCTCATCAAGATAAAAAGCTTCTGCACAGTGAAGAAAACAATCAGCAAAACTAAGAGGCAACCAACGGAATGGAAGAAGATATTTGCAAATGACATATCTGATAAAGGGTTAGTATCCAAAATGTATAGAGAACTTATCAAACTGAACACCCTGAAAACAAATAATCTGGTGAAGAAATGAGCAAAGGACATGAACAGATACTTTTCTAAAGAAGACATCCAGATGGCTAACAGACACATGAAAAGATGCAAAATATCACTCATCATCAGGGAAATACAAATCATAATCACAATGAGATACCACCTCACACCTGTCAGAATTGTTAAAATTAACAAGTAGGCAACAACAGATGTTGGTGAGAATGTGGAGAAAGGGGAATGCTTTTGCACTGCTGGTGGAAATGCTAACTGGTGCAGCTACTCTGGAAAAAAGTATGGAGGTTCCTCAAAAAATTAAAAACAGAGCTACCCTATGACCTAGCAATTGTACTACTAGGTATTTATCTAAAGGATACAAAAATGCTGATTTTTAAGGGGGCATATGCACCTAATGTTTACAGCAGTGCTATCAAAAATAGCCATAGTATGGAAAGAGCCCAAATGTCCATTGACTGATGAATGGATAAAGAAGTGGTATGTGTATACAATGGAATACTATTTGGTGATCAAAAAGAATGAAATCTTGCCATTTGCAACAAAGTGGATGGAACTAGAATGTACTGTGCTAAGTGAAATCAGTAGGAGAAAGAGAAATATATGATTTTACTCATATGTAGAATTTAAGAAACAAAACTGATGAACATAGGGGAAGGGAAGGAAAAATAAGACAAAAACATAGAGGGAGGCAACTGTAAGAGACTCTTAAACACAGAGAACAAACCGAGGATTGCTGAAGGGGTATTGGGGGGGGGGGGGATGGGCTAAATGGGTGATGGGCATTAAGGAAGACACTTGTTGGGATGAGCACTCAGTGTTTTATATGTAAGTGATGAATCACTAAATTCTACTCGGGAACCATTATTATGTTATATGTTAGTGTAATAAGTTAGATTGTCTTTAATTAAAATCCAATTTTAACTTGTATTTAAGAAAGAAAGAAAGAAAGAAAGAAAGAAAGAAAGAAAGAAAGAAAGAAAAGTTATGGGGAATGATATGGCATGGCAGAAGTGCTGCTATAGCCCACAGGGAAAGTTTCGTAGAGAAGGTAATACCTGAACTGAATCTCAAAGCACGGGTAGGTACTAGAAAGGAAGAAAAGGTATTTGGAGTGGCAATATGAGAAAACACAGCACACTTCTCAATTTTTTTGAAATGAGGTAGAAAATAGTCATGAGCCACTAGGTCAGTGTGGGGTTTAGGGTAAGAGTGGGAGAGTGGGAAGAGATGCCACTGGAAAGGCAGACAGATATTAGAACATTAAGTAAGGACTTTGCCATGCCAAAGAGTATAAGTTTTATCCTGAATGAAGTGGGGAACAAAATATTTTAGAATCAAAAAAACATAAGCAGATGTGAGCTGTGGAAAGAAGTCTGACAAAGCACGGACAGGAACTGCCATAATCATCAACTGAACCAAAAGATCTCTTCCACTGGTGCAGATGTGGGGATGTGGGGAGGATAGAGATTGCAGAGAGCAGGGAGTTCATGAGGGAAGCAGAGTAAAAATAGAAAAAGCAATGTTTCTTACCGGTGCTCGCAGGTACCCTGAAATGTGGAAGAAGGCAGAGTGGGATAGAGAAGGCTGAGGCTGGTGAGTTAGACGAGGAAATCTGAGTGGTGCACAGATGCAAGACGGAGGAGAAGTAGAATCCAACCCAGGGAAAAGAAAGTCATGAGATAGGAAAGCGGGGCTCTTGAAAAACCACTAGCTGAAGGGTGCTGCCTGTCCCTGGAATGTCTGTGTCATTATGTTTGAAGGACAGGTACCAGGGAAATGCGATAACTAATACTTTTAGTACTTTCCTGTTGACAAAGAATGTTGGCATACCTGGAGTCATTTAGTCACAAGAATGCTATGTGTTAGGGCAGAATATTAGAAGCAAGTATTTACTGAACACCTTCTATGGACTCAGTACTGGCTGAGGATGAAGAAACTGAAATGCAGAGTTTAAGTGACTTTCTCATAATTGCACAGACCTGGTATCTAAACCCAAGTTCTCTGACCCCGAATGTCTTGCTTCCCCTCCATAGTAGTGGATTTCTATTATAAGTTACCAGCTCTCTTCCTGCTCAAGACCCATCCTCAACTTACCCCAAATGTTTCTTTAAAAAACATTAATTTTAAAAAGATCACCAAACTCAACTAACATTGTTCCTTTCCCTTCAGCCATATTGCATGTATCTCTGAACCTACAATGATCTTCAGAGATCAATTTATTTAGTGTTTTTCTTGTTTCGAGTCCTTTTACACATCTTGAAACTTAGCCTTAGATTTTCAAAGAGTGTATTAACCTATTAAAGGGTGGCAAACTTAAAAGTGTAAGTAATTCAGGCTTTTTTCAAAGCTCCAATTCTTATGTAAGTAATTTACTGAATTTATTTTCTTAGAGGTAAATAACCTTAAAAGGAGAACACGAGATTAGGCCTCACAGATTTAAACTTATCTGAATTGAACAAAAATTTAAATGTATTGGGGTAATGACTAATATTTTAGTTCTAAAAACAAAGCAAAGCAAATAGGCTGAAATCAGTTTACTTGGAGTGGGGCAGAGATGAACACTTTCCGTTGGATAATTGGCTTTGTGAGGCCTTCTGCTTTCTCCGGCAAGCCGAGCCATAGCAGCAGCATACCTGGAATAAGAAAAAGAAGAAGTTATCTAAGTTTCCAAATGAATTCCAGGTAGTGTACGTTACTATTGAGAAAGATAGGGCCAAACATATCAAATCTGACAGACCAGCAGAGCAATGAGGTTTGATTCTGGTGCCCTTCTGAGCATTCACTACTATATTAGTGAACGGAAATTATTCTAGTATATTTCCTAACAGCAGAAAAGCGGACAAATATGGTGTAATATTAATCCTGTAAAAGTAGTAAAAGCATCAACTGGTAAGGCAAGGTGCATTTGTTTCCCAGGGCCTCCATAACTAATTTATTTTCATATAGTTCTGGAGGCTGATTTTTTTTTTTATTTTTGTAATCAGGAATCGATGTTGAAATATTCTTCCCCTATTGAGATGATCATCTGATTCTTTCTTATTCTGTTTTGCATTGTTCAAATTTTTCAAATATTAATCCAAGGTTACATTTCTGACATAAACCCCACGTGGTCATGTATAATTATCATAATTATTTATTATATTATTACATTTATGTTATATTTATTATAATTATATATATGGGATTTGATTAGCTAAAACTTTTGCATCTATGTACATGAGGTGTATTTATGTGTAATGGGTTTTTCTTTTCTTCCTGGTAGTGTCTTTGGTTTTGTTATTGAGGTAATGTAAACACTATCTATTTTGTTTGTTTTTTTTACTTAAGTTTTCAAAAATTCCAATATAATTAATATATAGTGTTATACTAGTTTCAGGCATACAATATAGTGATTCAATGATACTACACATTATTCAGTGCTTATCATAAGTGTACTCTTAATCCCCTTCACCTATTTTGCCCATCCCCTGATCCACGTCCCCTCTGGGAACCACCAGGTTATTCTCTATAGTTAGGAGTCTGTTTTTTTGTTTTGTTTTGTTTTGGTTTGGTTTGTCTCCTTTTAAAATTTTATTTGTTTTGTTTCTTAAATTCCACATATAGAATCATATGGTATTTGTCTTTCTCTGACTGACATTTTTTGCTTACCACTGTACTCTCTGGATCCATCCATGTTATTTGAAATGGCAAGGCTTCACTCTTTTTTATGGCTGAGTAATATTCTACTATACATATATATATATATGTATATATATACATATACATATATATATATATATGTATGTATCCATACACACACGCACACACATATACATATATACATACATACACACCACATCTTCTTTGTCCATTCATCAATTGACGGACAGTTGGGCTGTTTTCATAGTTTGGCTATTGTAAATGAAGCTGCTATAAACACAGGGATGTATATATCTTTTTGAATTACTATTTTCCTATTCTTTGGGTAAAATACCCAGTAGTGGAATTACTGGATCATATGGTATTTCTATTTTTAATTTTTTTAATGTTTAATTTTTGAGAGAGAAAGAGACAGAGCACAAGCAGAGGAGGAGCAGAGAGAGAGGGAGACACAGAATCTGAAGCAGCCTCAGGCTCTGAGCTGTCAGCACAGAGCCTGACGCAAGACTTGCAGCCAGAACCAGAGATGGTGACCTGAGCCAAAGTTGGACGCTCAACTGACTGAGTCACCCAGGCGCCCCTATTTTTAATTTTTTGAAGAACTTCTATACTGTCTTCCACAGTGGCTGCACTACTTTGCATTCCCACCAACAGTGCATGAGGGTTCCTTTTTCTCCCTATCCTTGCCAACACTTGCTGTTTCTTGTGTTTTTTATTTTAGCCATTCTGACAGGTGTGAGGTGATTTCTCATTGTGGTTTTGATTTGCATTTCCCTGATGATGAGTGATGTTGGGTATCTTTTCATGTGTCTGTTGGTCATTTAGATGTCTTCTTTGCAGAAATGTCTGTTCATGTTTTCTGTCCATTTTTGAATTGATATTTTTTTTTGGTGTTGAGCTGTATAAATTTTTTATGTATTTTGAATACTAACCCTTCATCGGATTTATCATTTGCAAATATCTTCTCCTATTCAGTAGGTTATCTTTTAGTTTTGTTGATTGTTTCCTTTGCTGTGCAGAAGTTTTTAATTTTGATGTAATCCCAATAGTTTTTTTTTTTAATTTCCCTTTCCTCAGAAGACATACCTAGAAAAATGCTGCTATGACCAGTGTCAGAGAAATTACTCTCTGTGCTCTCTTCTAGGATTTTTATGGTTTCAGGTCTCACATTTAGATCTTTAATCCATTTTGAGCTCATTTTTGTGTATGGTGTGAGAAAATGGTCCAGTTTCATTCTTTTGCACATAGCTGTCCAGCTTTCTCAACACCATTTGTTGGAGAGACTTTTTCCCATTGTATATTCTTGCCTCTTTTGCTGTAAATTAATTGGCCACATAATCATGGGTTTATTTCTATGCTCTTTATTCTGTTCCATTGATCTATATGTCAATTTTTGGGCAGATACCATACTGTTTTGATTACTACAGCTTTGTAGTAGTGTATCTTGAAATCTGGGATTGAGATACCTCCAGTTTTGTTCTTTTTCAAGATTGCTTTGGCTATTTGGTGTCGTTTGCGGTCCCATACAAATTTTAGGATTATCTGTTCTGGTTCTGTGAAAAATGCTACTGGTATTTTGATAAGGATTGCGTCAAGAGGTAATGCTGACTTTATAACACGTATTGGGAAGTGTTCTCTTTTATATTTTCTAAAAAAGGAAAATTTTGTATTTTGTATACATTGATACTATGTTTTCTTTTAACGTCTGGAAAATTCGTCAGTGAAGCCATTGGGCTTGGAGTTGTCTTTGTATGAAGGCTTTTAACTATCAGTTCAATTTCTGTATTAGACACAAAATTATTCAAGTTATCCATTTCTTTTTAAGAGAGACTGTCATTCACTTCATTTATGTAGTTGGATTTGTTGGTCTAAAAATGTATTTTACCTTCATTTTAGAGAAATATTTTCAAGGTGTATAAAATTCTAGGTCAATAATTTCTTTCAAGAATTCTAAAATTGTCATCAATTATCTTTTAGTGGTAAAGTTTCTGCCATAAAGTTATTGGTTGTTCTTATCTTTGGTTCCTCTGCATGCAGTGTGTGTGTGTGTGTGTGTGTGTGTGTGTGTGTGTTTATCCTTTGCTTTGAAGATTTTTCTCTTTATCACTTCAGCAATTTGATTATGATGTACTGTACCTTGGTATGGTTTCTTTATATTTCTGTTTCTTGGGATTCATTGAGTTTCTTGGTCGCTAAGCTTACAGCTTTCATCAGATTTGGACAATTTTCAGGCATAATTATTTCTTCACATATTTTTTTCTGTCAGTTCTTGTCTGAGACACCAATTATGTGTAACTTATACCACTTGATATTGCCACACAGCTCAATGAGGTGGCTTTTTTTTTCCCAGTCTTTTTTTCTCTATGTTTATTTTCAAGAGTTTACGTTGCTCCATGGGTAATTTCTTCTACAATATCTAATTTGTTGTTCTTTCCCAACAGTATATACTTACATTTTTAATTTACTTTATCTGTAGATATTCCATTGGCCTTTTGTATATCTTCCATTTCTCCTCATTATAATCATGGTATTTTTTAGATCCTTGATGTATAACAGCTGCTTTAAAATCCATACCTACTAATTCGATCATCTCTATAGTTTATGGATCTTTTATACTGATAGATTTTTATTTTGGTTATGGGTTATATTTTCCTGCTTATTTTCCTGACTGGTCATTTTGTATGGGATTCTGGATGTTGTAAAATTTACTTTGTTGGGCAATGAATTTTATCTATTCCTTTAAATATGGTTGTTTCAGCATGTAGCTCAGTAACTTACAAATCAATTTGTATATTCAAGGCTTGTGTTTAAGATTTCTGATGGGTCTTGGGCGCCTGGGTGGCGCAGTCGGTTAGGCGTCCGACTTCAGCCAGGTCACGATCTCGCGGTCCGTGAGTTCGAGCCCCGCGTCGGGCTCTGGGCTGATGGCTCGGAGCCTGGAGCCTGTTTCCGATTCTGTGTCTCCCTCTCTCTCTGCCCCTCCCCTGTTCATGCTCTGTCTCTCTCTGTCCCAAAAATAAATAAACGTTGAAAAAAAAATTAAAAAAAAAAAGATTTCTGATGGGTCTAGAACAGCTGTTATGGGGGAACTAATACAGCTACATGTTCTTGGAAAGCAGCTTTATGTACATGACAAGAGTGATAAATCTTTCCATCTGGGGATCTGATTTTTTGTAACATGTTCTAAGGGAACTTCTTGGCTTCCTTCCTTTTCCTTCTTCCAGACAGAACACAATCTAATATACCTCTGGGAAACCACAGCCCTCTTCAATTTCACCCCTGCTCAGACCAAGACCTAAGCTAATCTACATACCTTATTTCTGTGGCCACAGTTGGGGGATGGGTGGGAAGGATGCTGATGGGGAGGGCCAAGAGGGAGAGGGACACAGAGAGACCCCTCTCTGTTCTACGTGGGAGCAGAGCCAAAGGAACAATTCTCTCTCTCTCTCTTTGTTTTAAAGCCTAATATGTGTTTCTGACTCATATCAAAACCCCCTTTTTTGGAGAGATGAAGGGGGAAGCAGCTTTAAGTCATAGTATTTATAACATAGAATGCCCCACTAGATTCTGTGCTACCACTAGAAATCATGGTAAAGTTTTGGGGTACATTCTGAGAGAGAAGTTAATTAAATGAATTAAACTCATAAAAAATGAATAATAAAAATATGTGAAATTCATTAAAAAAACAGTTGAAAGGACTGGGTATGTTTACTCTGAAAAAGAGAATACTTAAGGGGAAGTAGGAAAAAGGCACAAGAGCTATTTTCTGACACTCAAAGGATAATTCCACAAAAAAGAAGGGCCTTATTTGTGTTGCTTCCAAGGACAAGTGGAGACACTTTGATTTCTGCCACAACATCATCCCTTGACCAGGCCTTCCACCCAAACCCAAAGCCATCCCTGGGTTCTCAGGGTCTGAGCTGCTGCTCGGTCTCATAGATAAAAGCCCAGGTTGTAGCATCTGGCAGGCCTAGATTGGAATTTCAGCTCTGTC